AGTCTTTAACCAATGCGTCTTCCCAGTTATGACCTATGGATCAGAAACATGGGCTACAACCAAATTACAGGAGAGGAAATTAATAAGTGCCCAGAGAGGGATGGAGAGGTTGATGCTGGGAATTAGCCGGCGACGTGGATCAGGGAACAGACAAAAGTGGAAGACATACTTGGATGCATCAAAAAGAAAAAATGTCAATGTGCAGGTCATATATGCCGGAGACAGGACGACAGATGGACAAAGAAAGTAACAGACTGGGCTATAGTTGGCATAAAGAGGCCAAGGGCCAGACCAATGACAAGAAGTCGTGACGAAAAGACTGGAAGAGGCCTACGCCCTGCAGTGGACTGATTCAGGCTGATGATAATGATATATGTATACACACACACACACACACACACACACACATATATATATATATATATATATATATATATATATATATATATATATATACATATATATATATATTTATATATATGTATACATGTGTGTGTGTGTGTGTGCGCGCGTGCGTGCGTGACTGTGGAAATGGGTATACATGTGTGTACACATATACATATATATGTCTGTACGCATGTCTTTCTTTCTCTTTCAGTAATATAGCCATGTTAAAATAAATAATTAAAATAAAGGTATTCTTAAAAACGTAGAACCAATAACGAAGACTAATCAAAGGTCCTCACTTCCTGCGCCTGAGGGCGTGCGTGGGCGGCGTCTCGGCCCGGCGCGTGGGCGTGGGCGATTTGGGTGGTCAGCGACGCCGCCCGCGCCCGCATTTCCTCCGCCTCCACCTCGTACTTGTGGGCGTCAGCGTGTGCCTCCTGCAGCTTCTCCTCAAGACCAGATACCTGAGGGTGAGATTTATTTTTGGAGTGTTACCTAATTATACATTACTATACCATGCAAATTATCCTTCGCGTTGCAACATGATTAATATTTCACATCTTTCTTCCGTCTCGTATATTGCAATATACTTTCTAATAAGGCTATAATAACATGTGTTTAGCTAATATCTGTAAGATGATATTATATATGAAGTGTAATGTATAGCTTTCGATAATAACTTACATATCGGGCTCTCGTTAAAAAACGATTTTCGATAACGATGCGTTTTTTATAAAATTTACAAAAAAAAAGATTACAAAAGTTTTTTTAGATCATGCATACTGTAGATCTATAAATTTACTAATTTACTTATATATAAATTTACTGTTTGTCTCTGTTTCTCTCTTTTTCTTTCCGTTTTTCTTTTTCTCTTTCTCCTATTCCTCTTAATTTCCCTTCTCTCTCTCTCTCTCTCTATCTATCTATCTATCTCTATCTATCTATCTATCTCTATCTATCTCTATCTATCTTTATCTCTATCTCTATCTATCTCTATCTCTATCTCCCTCTCCTTTTCCTTCTCCTTTTCCTTCTCCTTCTCTTTCTCCTTCTCTTTCTCCCTCACCCTCACCCTCTCCCTCTTGTCACTCTTTCCCTCACCCTCTCCCTCACTCTCTTCCTCTCCCTCATCCTCAACCTCACCCTCACCCTCTTTCCCTCTCCCTCTCCCTCTTTCTGCTTCTCCTTCTCCCTCACCCTCTTCCTCTCCCTCTCCCTCACTCTCACCCCCTCCCTTTCCCTCTCCCTCACCCTCACCCTCTTCCCCTTCCTCTCCATCTCCCTCTTCCTTTCCCTCTTCCTTTCCCTCACCCTCATCCTCACCTTCATCCTCACCCTCTATCTCTCCCCTTCTTGTCACTCTCTCCCTCTCCCTCTCCCTCTTTCTGCTTCTCCCGTATTACACCGGTGACCTAATCTGAGATCCCTGACCTCATGCTGTCGGTCCTGCAGCGTCCTCTGGAGCGTGGTGACCTTGAGCATGTTGAGTCTCGCCTCGCTCTCCCGCTCCAGCAGAAGGCGCCGTAGTTCCCCGACGTCTCGCCTCGCCGTGGCCAACTCCGCCCGTAGTTGCTGTTCGCCCAGCTGGCTCTCCATCTGAACCAGCTGGATGCTCCCGTCTGCCTCAGTCTGGGTTATGGGGGAAGGGAAGGGCTGGAGATACTATGGTTGGGTATAATAATTATCAGTGTCGTTTGGCCTATTTGGGATAATAATGTAATGTATACTTTAACCCACAAAGATAATTGTACGTTATCTTTGCTGTAGATTTATCCAATATTATGTTTTGTCTATTCTCTGTCTCTCTTTATCCCCCGAAAACTGTCTTTCCGACTTACCGCTTCTTTCAGCTGCTTCTTCGTCGCTTCCAGCTGCTCCTTCAGCATTGCGATCTCCTCCTTCAGAAGACTCTCCTCCCTCTCCTTCTCAAGGTCCTTCGTCGGGACGGGGGTGCTCCTTGAGATCTCCAGCTCCTTCTTGAGGCTTGACTGTTCCTCCTCCAGTCTGATCTTCTGTTTGGTCATCCCCTCGATCTGCAGGAGGAGGAGAGGAAGGAGGTGAAAAGCGTATGAAAGGAGGGTAATAAAGAAGAATGGAAGAGGGTAATAGAAGA